TATCTAGAAAATACTGACCTTACTGTGAGACTCATACCCACAGCTGTGTAGCTATGTTCCTAAAGCTGTACAAGTGGAATGCCTCCCAACTACTTGCTAGCTTAAAATTTATTATTTTGAAGAAAAAAGAAACGAAATTAGGAGTTGGGACTCAAGCTGGAGTCTTCTCCTCAATCCCAACCTAAATCTGTAATAAATACTTTTAAATTTGTGCTTACATATGGGAACTTACATAATTTTGGATTGCTTCTGCTTGCAGGAGGAATTTCTGCGACTTTGGATCAGTGAGGTCATTTGTATATGTTAAATTAGGAATTTCTACACTTCCACCAATATACATAAAGCAGAAAGCTGGAGCTGAGAAAAAAGGATCAGAAATTAGCACACGTAATAACATTACAGAAAAGCTTCCAGAACAAGAAGCTCGCAGAAGCATGTATTTTTCCTCGGCATCAGTAGGCATTAGTTCTTAAGAGAAACACAGAATATTAGTGAGAGTCAGTTCCACTGCTAGAACAGTGCCCAGGAGGATAAGCTATTTGGAGAGGAATGAGGTACAAGTTCACATAGGCATTTCTACTAATAGATTTTAATTTTAAGCTTCCTTTTTTTTTTTTTCTTTTCTAGCGAGAGAGGATTTTAACGATTATGAGCTGAGTTTTGGGAAGAAGCACAAAAAAGTTAGGTATCCATTCTGTTTTGAAAAAATGAATAAGACAGTTAATTCCCATTGATTCTTGGAAAAAACAGTTATAATAATAGTACCAAGCAGAGATAAAAAATTAGAGATAAAATAAGTAGCTTCATTATTCCTGTGCAACTGCCAACTGCTAATTATTGTGCTTCTTTTTTTTTTTTTTTTGCCTTAGTAAGGACATTAAGGAGAAGGGAAAGTCAGTAGTTTCTGTATCCAGCATGTGCTTAACTGTTCAGAAGAGCTTACTGTACTAATCATTCACATAGTGCAAAACACTCGTCCCATCCAGACCATGCTCGAGAGTAACACTTACGGAATGAATAGCGCAGGACCAGTACAATAACTGTAACTATTAAAGAAGTTATGGGCAATGCTCCTAGAAGCCATCTTTTCCAGAAATACAGGCGTTTGAGGAAACAATACCGCTGACACACACCACCTTGGTAAGGCTGACAATAGCGAAGATGCGGACTTTCCTAAAGACAGACATTGGGAATGCATCAATTAGTTAGACAACGCAAGAAGGGCAATAGTATCATATTTCACTATGTTTGCCTCTGTAACTGTTAAAGGGGTTTAAACTAAGATGCATCTTTCATGTTACCAGCTACGTTACATATGAAACCTACATATTTCTGGGTCATTCATTTGTGATACGTGTTTTAAATTACAGGGGGAAAAGAAAAAAAAGTGCTATCACTTCAGTTAGAAGCAATTTGCCTGTGATGAAGTGGGGAGAGAGACTGTGCTTCTGCCGTAAAGCTTAGCTGGTGTCTCTTACCTGCTCAGCCGTTGGTTCAGAGCGGTATGGAGCTGGTATGCTGTACACAGAATCTCGTCTGGAGGGGAAAGCCCATATCATGATGTCTTGACAAACGCCTTCTGACAAGGCTAATAACAAAATCCTAGATGAACCTCATTTCTTAAGCATAACCCAGAAGAGTGAACTGCCCCCCTCCTCCCCCCACCCCACCTCACCTCACCTCCGGGCTTCTCTCATTTCACCTTTGCCATACTGCTTAAGCGAGAGCCAGCTGAGCTGCAATCAAAGAAGGTGGGGCAGCAAACTCAACATCACTGTAACTCTTTCTTTTCCTAACTGGCTCAATTGGATATGGACCTCATAATTTGGAAACAGATCGGTTACCCCCTCCTCTCAGAAATACAAGGGTAAAAGATATTTTAGGCCACTTATGCAAATGAAGTGCAAGCAAATTATAGATGAAAAACCCTATAGCAAACCAGAGCAAGGTAAACAAGGAGACTTCTAATGAAAACCTGAAGGAATCCACCGAAATATTTATAAGAAAGCGGAAACATGCAATTCCAAAGATTACCTGATTTTTCCAGTGGTAAACGTGGCGGCCTCAAGCTTGTATCATAGAGCAAACAGAAGAGCAAAGCAATCAATATTGATACTTCCTGTTTGAAGTCTAAAAGGGTTTCAAGCCTGAAAGCCAACAGCTTCAGGGAATTCTGCATGCTAAACAGGAAAATTAAGGGTGGGAGAGAAGTTACATGTGTGTGTGTGTGTGTGTGTGTGTATATTATATATATATACATAAACACACACACACATATGTATGTGGGTGGGTGTGCATGCACATATATACAGGTATACATACACACCTTTCTAAAATCAGAAAAACAAAAGAAACTAGAGAAACCTCAGCAACAGAAAATGAAAAGGGGACAAACAAACCCCAAACCAAATGCAGATCCCATGGATTACAAAGGGATTCATTGGAACACAATCCTCAGGGCTCAGGAATGCAAGATCCAACTGTAGACAGACTGCTTTGTTCAAGTCCTCCTCTTTTTTCAGCAGCCTACCTCCGCTACACACACGACGTGCTGATTGACTGGTACTGTTAGCCTTCCTTCAGGGAAAAGCAACTCTCAGAAGAACGTAGAGCAAACAAAACCTCTTTGGCATCAGATAAATACATCCAGAAAAACCAATTCTGTAGCAGTCTATGACATCTATCAGAGGGTGGAGGCAACAGTTTCATGTGGGTGAGGACAAGATCATTGCAGCAGCAGCATGCAGCACCGTATTTACTCAGCTTATCAAGGTTGCCAGCAGATAAAGAATGCAAATTCTTAGCTGGATAAACTATGAATAATCTTGAATACAGGGAAATTAGGACAGGAAACAGAGAAAGATACTCCAAAACATACCATTAATTAAAATGGAAGTTAGAGAAGTTAGAAGACTAATTCTTTATTCCACGCTTATCTGCAGAACTTCTGATCTCAAAAAATGAGGGCCCTACAGATTTGAGAGGATTCAGTTCAATTCCCATAATTTATTAGAAAAACTTTAAGACTGAGATTTCTAATACAATAGTGTCATCAGAATCCTTCCCCTAAAGAATACTTCAGAGGATGCAGCCTTAAAAGAGCAGACATTAATTTCAGCAAATCTTATGTGCACCTCCATACGTGTCTGTTAAGAAATAAATTGTCCATTGTCATAAAATAGGTTGCCTGTTAACTCACAGAAGTAAATTTAAGAGAAGGATTTGTAGAAGGACATTAATCCTCATGCAATTACCATATGTCATGTCATTTAAATTAAAAAAATTCATCTTAACCTCAAATAAATCAATTTCTGATTTAAATGGTACGAGATACCCACAAATGAATTTAACAATTATTCCACTGTACACATTTTATTTACCATAACAAACTTTAATTTTACACCTTTCCAGTCTAAAAGTTGCCTGCAGCTGTGGTTTAGAAGGTATTATATTTTTGCTTTCACAGGAGAGCCTTCAACTTCAAGATATGTATGAAAGCCAAGTTGAGCTGAAATCCTCCCCCTCCCCCGCTATAAAATTGATATATTGCATCTTCTAAGAAGCAACCCTCCCCTCCCAGCAACCTACCTCCACTTCCATACACATACACTCCTCCTCTTCCCCCAAATACCAGGTGAAAATAGCCTGGGGAAAAAAAAAAGCATTCCCTTTAGACAGTTATGTGAAGCTATCGTTTCTAACAGACACATTCACCAACCTGGCAGAAGTTAGCTTATGCTTCATGATATTGGGTGAACTTAGCCCTCATGAAACCTACATACGGTGTTTTGACAAAAAAGTCATCATTAGTCCGCATGACTTCAGAGACTGATCTTGCCTGGAAAAATAAGCAAATGAACCCATAGTATAAGTGAATATTCTGAAATCAAAAACTTAAGACCATTTTAGCTAGAACTGCTTGTGGTCGTAGCTATTCCCTTTCATATGTGCTGGTAAAAGAAGTCTTCAAGTGAATTGCCTACAGGAGATGTAGTATAGACAGAAACTGTTTATAAGCAAGTCGATAAGCTATTCCTATAATCCTACAACGTACACTTTAGGCAACATCCACTCAACTCCAGAATATTGGTGAGGCAAGGGAAGAGTGGAGAGGTGGTGTTTTAGCTTCTGTTTTTCCAATTACTTCAGCTTGTACTTGTTCAACAATAGACATTTTATTCATTCTTCCTAAGGATGCCTACTGATGATTTTTTTTAGAAGAAAATTCAGAAAAAAAACCAAGTGCTCCTCCCTGAATACTAAACAAGTTAACAATACTGTGGGAAAAGCCTTCCAGCTGCCTTGAAGCTATTGGCCTAAAGAAAAGAGGAACGTTATTTTTCTGCATCAGAAACCTTTCTCTCTAGAAAGAAGTATCACAGCAGGGTGGCCCACAGTAACTTATCAGTTCCTCAAGAGCCTGTTTCGCTGTTCAGCCTTGAACCTACTGGTGTCCGAAAAAGTCATTTTCTCTTCCTTTAGATTTTGTTCCGTTATTCTTCCCAGCTCTCTTCTACCATTCCCTTCTGTGTCAGCTGTTCTTGCTGGAGGAGACAGGAAGTAGGCTTAGCAAGAGTACTAACAGCTGAGGGATGCTTTGGTTGCCACTGTTACTGCGCTACCCAAGACCCGGGAGGGAACATCTGAGCTAGTTAAGCCCTGTCATTAGCTGGACAATTGTATTTTCAGTTTCCTGATAGATGGTTGCAAATACACACTTCCGGTGCCTGGAAAAATGAACAAAAATACAGTGCTAGGTGTTGATCACTCCAGCTCTTGCTGTGTCCACAGACACCTGCACAGACAATCAAAGGATCAAACTTTTCCACTGATCCTTCTTTCTTTAAGGTTTGCAACAAAGGGTTGCTTATTGCTTCAGTACTGTGTACTCCAAAATCATTGAACATTGTGTCAGTTAGGAAATATGCAAAGAAATTCCACCAACAATAGTTTTATAAAACATGATTTTTAATGAAGATAGCCAGGACACATATTACTCCAGCATAAAAGTTTTCAGATTACAAGGTTGAAGGCACATATTTGTGAATCCATGGAGCAAAATTTGACACTCTTGTGTAGACACCAGGAAAATTTGGTCTTCCGCATCCATAACCCCAGCTCACAATGCCAGTCAAGAACCATTTTCCATCAGCGTTGCTTTGACATGACAAGGGTCCACCAGAATCACCCTAAAAAGAATATATCACATGTGTTTGCAATACAGAACATTAAAACCTAGGCAAAATGTCTCCTGTGGAGTTTTGCCCTAGTAATTCCAATAACGATTTTATTTTTCCATTCATATATTTCAAACTATCAGATATAAAATAGGGTTGTTTTTTTTTTTTTTTTTTTTTTTTACTTGAAGTAGATGTAATTGCATAGTCCTGTCAAAGTTTCATGGTTCACAGGAGAAAGGGCTAGCTGTCGCTATCTAAAAGCATTAAACGTACTACTTTTCACAGGCTATATTTTAAATTCACAATGAAGTTCTCAAGATCAAACTTACAGCTAAACCCAAAATCTGCTACTTAATTCTTCTCTTCATTTACAGACTGCAGATATACCCAAGGGCCATGAAAAATTGTTTTTAAAAAAAAAAGAATTCAAATGTCAAAGGCAAAGTACAGTAATGATCTTTAACATCTAATATAACTTCATTAAAAATAAAAATAATGGAAACAGATTAGTTCTGTCAAGTGAATTTTAGTTTTTCTATTAAAAAAAAAAAAGTGGTGCTCTATAGTAGCTACAAGCTTACAACAAAGGTAATGTTTAGGGGCACACAATGCCTTTGTAAGGAGGGTAGTCCCAACAAAGTGTGTTGTGGACTTCAAAATTCCATACAGCATGGAGCAATTCCAATGCTACCTAGCAAAACAAATAAGAAGTAAATTCAGAACTTCTTTTTTTTTTTTTTTTTAAATCTTTCAGCATTGTCAGATCAGAAATGCTGTAGGTTTGAAAATTATGCCTAGTTGTCTGCATTTCATCAATCAGCCCTGTAGTTTCAACTGTAGGAGGAGGAATCTCAAAAAGAGTCAAACTAGGTTCTCGGTTTCTTCAACTATTAGACTCTTATGCCAAATATTGCCTCCCTTCAACAATTCTCATGCTAATTGGACTTACAAATCAACTGACCCTTGGGCTAAAACTGAAAGTTAGTGATGCTATTCATGCACATAAAGCAGCAAAATTCTGGAAACACTTACATGACAGACTGGCTGATAAGAGAACTCCTTTACATAGTTATTTTTCAGAACAGAAGTATATGCATCACCAGATGTTTAGCCATTCATTTCCTGCAACTCATCATGCAACAATGAAAGACAAGAGAAACTCAACATGAGCCATGCAGAGATACGTACTTTGCAGCCATCTCTTTTCCCGGACATTAGCCCTGCACAAAACATCCTAGCTGTGATTATCCCATATGTGGAATGACATAATGTTTGGTCAATAATTTCTACCTCTGCTTTC